ACCCTTATACGGCGCGCACGGCTCAAACGTTCATTCATTACTTTCGAGAACATTATGTCCTTTTGTATTCTATGCAATGATTCCTCTTTCCATTCACAGGCAGTCCAAGGCAATCCGCCCATGCCTGCTTTCTTCTTATTTAAGAACCTTCCAGAGCTCCTTGGTCTTCTTATAGGTGGGATTATGTGCTTACTTGTTCCACTTCCTAATAATCTTACTGCATTCTACCTAACTTTTTTTCTCTTTTGAAACAGTTCTGTAGCGATGTGGAGAATTCATTTTGCTTCGTTGTGCTGTGGGCTTCAGTTGTGAGTTCTAGTTGTCGGAAAGGATACCAAGTCGCAGAGGCCATTCAAGATGAGATGTATGCAGACGTAGGTAGTTCCGAGCGCTCATCTCGAATCCGGGTTCCAATCTGCGAAACGACTTTGGGAACAAAGTTACGGGCCCACCTTCCCCAGGTGTCACGTCACCTTGTTGCTTTTATACGAGATTCGAGCAATACTCAGACTGCATCGATGGCGCAGTTGGGAGGGCGGCGGACTAATAGACGTGACATGGAGGTTCGGATCCTTGATGCAGGTGCTTGTTTTGCTTTTTTTATAAAAAGTGTTCCAAACTCTTGCAAAACCCTTTTAATCCATCATGTAGACTACCTACAGCCCTCCTTCATATTTATGGGGCATAAAAATGCTAATACAAGTATATTTTTCCTTCGGCATCACAGACCAAATGGGGAGGGGTCACATAGAACCCTCCTGCTCCGGGCACCTAAGGTCAGGGCCTATACAACCCACATGAAGAGCAAGGAACTGATGCTTAATTGTGTTAGGTCGTGCATTATATCTAGAGATTTGCCTTCAACCCTACTCATGGAGCTCGTTCAAGGGCCATGAAGCGATTCAGGGTGCTGTGTCAACTGGCAGAGGTGAAAGTGCTCAATGTTCCAAATGAGGCAACTTCTCTAATTGAGCCTCTCGATGTATATTTTTCCTTACTACTGAAAGCCATATATAAGCGTGCTGTCACTTTAGTAATTGTTCATGATCTGGACTCGGAAATTGTGAGAGTTACGGGTGGGGTGAACTTTCTTTCATGCTGTGCTCTGATTGTCAGAAGCTTTTCTGGCCCAAACGCTTTGTGTTATCATATCTGTTCATATAGTTCTCACCTATTGTTTAGCTAGTATTTTTGCATAAAAATGACAGCTGAATTGTACCAGCTCACTTCTACCCATAGAGGGGCATCACTTTATCCAAAAGCGCTGTAGCCTCACGAGCCATCCGAGAGCCCTCTTTTAAAAGTGCATGGAGCTGCTGTTTTTATGAGATAGAGATAGTATTACTCCGGATATCTCGCGTTGCCCTAAATACATCTAGTAGTGGTTTGATTATTGCATAAAGGAACTGCAGCTCTTCGATTCCAGGTGCTCTGGAAGACCATTTACGTTATCACGATATAACAACAACTATTTGGTTGAATTCGAATCTCCGTACAAGAATGGAAGAGAGAGAAAGAGCAGGGAATCGATATGTATGGAATCTAAAGTGTTCTTGGATCATCGAAATCCACCGATCTCTATATCTATGAGGTAAGTGCGTTTGCAAGGACTGAACCCATATTTAGTGGGAAGTGAAATAGCATAGGTTATCGCACAATAGAACTGGACAGTGTCTTTTTTAATCCTTGCTTTGTTTCGTCAAGCAATCGGCAAAAGTCAAGTGGAGAGGGTGGAGAACTGCTCATCACTCCTAATCGCATTCTCGGCTGATTTCCACAATTCGCTAGATCTTTCTCTCGTGTTAGCCCTCTCTGCTGTTTATCGTTGTTCTGAATAGAGTTTTTCGTCTTCGGCATGACCCGCTAACGTCATTTACCGCTCGGTTCGCCTCACTTGACAACTTTTACTGCCAACGCTCATACGTAATGTGCTGGGTTATCTCTTTTCAAGTAAAGACGAGTTACCCTTTATTTAAGTAATTATCCCTTACCTTCGCATTAAGGTATGTGCTCTCCAGCCTTCACACTCGAGGGCAACTAAGCCACATCAGTCTTAGGAATGATGTGACTCCAGTCGCCGTCACGTCTTCAAAATGATAGTCGTGAATCCTCTTAATCTTAATTGCTCTGAGATTAAGCCTACTTTTTTCATTTCGGCGAAGCCTTCGTATTTCTAAGTCGGAAGTGGTGCACCAGTTGAAGGTGCCTCTTTGCTTCCGCAGTGCCCTTCGAACCGAGCCCTGCTGTGACTTAGTGAGCCATCAAATTTTCGTCGTATGACATCATTTGATCGGACCGTACGTACATCATCAACATGGACGCGACTGTCTACGCCCTATATATCCTCCCACCATCCACTACCTTGCTCGTTCCGCTTCATTTGGGAAATATTCACATTAAATACCTGGAAAATGCGAAAATCATATATTCGAAAAGCTCGACCAACTTGCCTAACACTAGTTCACCCGATTCCAATATATCGAGATGTATGTGCGATAACTTGGAAAAGTATTACTGAAGCAAATCTTTGAAAGGAGGGGCTAATCGGAAGGTAAACTTCACGTGTTCATAATGCATTTCATTGTTGACGTCAGAAAGCATATAATTTGGAAATAATCAAGAACAGCTATCGCTAATGCAACCACTTCGTCCTAATTCCACTAAGAAATAGAATTTGGATGGCAACGACTTTATCACAATCACCAACTCCTTGTTTAAATGATTTCAATGGTGCATGTGACGTCGCATCATTAGATTTGATTTCGATGCCTAGATGCCACCCTCGAACCCACAAAAAACAAGTTGAAAACATTCGCTATATCCAGTGTGCGTTTCGTTCACTACTTGTCACAAAATTATCCTAACTGTTGTTCTATCTCATACCGCTGCCCCTTGAAGACTACGCGACCATAGTTTCTATAGACCTAGGACGTCCCAACTTGTAGAGATACAGGCAGCAGCATGAGAACACTGATGGTAGGCGGAGGATCAAGGGCGGAGCATGCGCAAAATGGGCGCATTCTCGCTAAACCTACCCAGGTAGATTGGAATAAGTAGAGATTGAACCAACATACTAAACTACAAATGTCTTGAGCGCGACTCCACGCATTATAGGCGGAGCTCATGAAAGGTGTGAGCGCCCGCTCGTCATGAGTGGAGTCGTGCTCAAGTCATATGTGCTAAAGCACAGTTCTCAGTAGGAGTAGTTTCTAAAATTTCCCCTTAGGATCACCCATGATCACCAACGGTAACACGAAGGACGGTGTCGGACCGAAGAACTCAGTTTATAGGGCAAAATAGGAGTCCCATCACCGGATTCGTTGAAGTCACGCCCATCGGCTGATGATATGGGAGTTGCCGAAGCGATACAGATTGCTCTATTCGCGCCAGGACCCACACGTACAGCAACCAACCAGCTGATCGCCGGGTGTTGGGGGGGGGGGGGGGGATGTTCAAGGTGAAAGCAGTGGGAATCATTTTACTTTTGAATCCAATGGATGCTTAGATGCATCAGAATGTCCACAGCGCAGCGGAGTAGTAGGAGAAGATCAAATACGACCCTTTAGCGCCTATTAAGTAAGCCATACGCAATTGCTGACGTTGCGGACAGCCCGTCCAGACATTTCTTCCACGCCGTTTTTCCCATCACATTCTCCTTTAACCCCCTGTTTCACTACTACTTGAAGCCTTGAATTTATGTGAACATGCCATTTTTCGCAATTTCTTCGCTATCTTTGTACTATTCTAGAGTATTACTTTCATCATCCGTCGAAAACCGGATACCCCAGAATTAACGAGAGCTGTGCCTTTAAGTAAGTTGGTATGTGTGCGTGGCCGAAAGTTCAAAATACCGCTTTTCCTGTACCACAACGGCCAAGTTTATAAAGGATGCTATGCAGGCTGCGGGCCAACCTCGACACGAAAAGTAGGAGAGCCCAGCCTCAGTGGGGCCATCTGACGGCTGTATTCTACATTACTGTATTTTCTTTCTATGATAATTACTAATTAACGAAAAGCTTTATGTTGATGTCCACGAGCTGCTGAGGCAATTGGCAAAGGATCACGGTTGTTAGCGCAGCAATGACATCTACCGTATCAGCCTATTTTGTAGGCGCGGCGGGCAGGCTCGTTCACTCTTCCGCTGAGGCTAATGTGAAGCACAGTTTTCCAGCTCTAAGGATCTTATTAACTCGGATTCAACGGTACACACTAGTGACAAAAGTTTTTAGCACAACCAACCAGGGACATCGAAATCATTGAGAGAACGTGTAGAAGAAGAACAGAATTATTTCTTCAATATCTTTTCAAAATAGGAATATTCCTAGTAACACTTTGCCGACACCTTTCTGCGCTTTTATGGCTTAATTTGGATCGCATAAATAAGGCATTTATATATGGTTTTAAGAACTGTCGAAATCTACCTATAACTTGGATTACTCATGGACTGATGGGCTGTTGTGTGTCGTCTGGCAGAAATGCAGATTTCGACCAACAAAGGAAACGGCGGCAATCGTAAGCACTCCAGTCCTTCCTGTGAAATTTCAGTGATGTGAATTAAACTGATCTCAAACTATATGCGACTCCTTTGCAATAGCCATGCCCAGCGATTTACTCCATCACTCCTTTCGTTCTCACTCAAGTAATATGGTGCTCATCTAAAACCTAAGCAGATATTTAAACCTACAAAGCTGATGGTATAAGGCTTAACTTTCATCTGCTACGTGAGTCAATTCAACAGCGCACTATGGCATCTCACAGCGAGATCAGCCGACGGTGTTGTGGCCTACATGAATACACGTGAATGGTGAGATGGCTTCTTTCCAGTCGAGACTCATCCACGTACAATAAACATAAAACGAAGAGGCAAGAGGCTTGTCAGTGGCAGTAATTTCTGAGAATGTTTCCAAAGAGAAGATAGATACTCCACGCCGCTGTCACTATGCTGACTCATTTGTGTTTTAACAAGTTCAATAGGTTCTCTCAGGTCGGTAGGTGTTGGAATGGGCGTGGCAATGATGATGCAGCAGGCTGGAGCTATGGTGGGAGCAGCTCCAGCTTCAGTGGATCTTTCGACAATTAACGCACGAATACGCAAGGCAAAGGTTAGCATTTTCAACGTCTGTTACATCTCCAACCCGTCAGAATTGGAGGACGATTTCTTCCTTTCAGAAAAAAATTAAAAAAAAGAATTTGAAACCATTCTTGATCAGACGCCACCCAGAACTCTTACTAACCTCATTCCTATTGGTCATCTGAATGAAACCACTTTTTTTTCTTTACCTTAATCTTTTTCATGGTCTTTTCCAATTCACATTACAGGCCGAAGGAAGGACCGTTACCATGGTCAACGGTACATTGTACTTCGACTACCAACTGGTTGCCAGAATTCCGTCTCACTTCGACATCCATGTTTGATCTCCGATCCCCTCGACGCATACATGTGCCATCTGCGCGGCATGTACTGTGATACTTATAAACTTCGTCGTATTGGATTTGATCGTCCCTTGTCGGTACTACTATGTTCACGAAACAGATTTAGTGCAACGCTAATGTACTTGTACTCACAAAGACGTCGGAAGCTCACATGCTTTTCGTTTCTCTTTTGACATATACACCATATATCACTTTCATGGGCGATAGCCATGCGCAAGGATCGCCTTAGACCTTCACCTTACCTTCGGTAATGTGAAAGCTCAAAAATCGGAAAACGTCCGTCACGCTGATGATCGACTTTTGGGAACGGACCATCCATGCTATTTCTTTTACAATCGCAGAAACTTCTGTCTGTCCTGTTATTCTGTTACCCTCAAACAATTAGTGAATGATTTACGTCATTGTAGAACTCTGAAGAGATAACCTAGCCCATCCAACAGTTGAAAGCTTCAGTTGCCGTTAGATGGGAATGGAAATTCGTCTCATGAACTGACTGTGCGCAATAGAGCGCCTCAAACGTCTGCGTTTACGTTACTGCTTCCACTGAAAAAAATTATAATAACCAGCTAAATACTATGGAAGAACTTCAATTTGTTCAACTAGAATAGCTGTTCCAGTGTCCAAAGAAGCTTTCCTTTTGGTACCTTATTGTACATCAGCTGGCCTGCGCACGATGCCATACGCGTCTCATGACTCCTGATGGATAAATTCCCTTGAAAAAAAACCTAACCTCGTTTTAGCAACATAGTGTACCGCCCTCCCCCGAAAAGGTAGAGAAACCGTTAGAAACCAACTATTATAATAGCGTCATAAGCCGTCTATCGAGAGCGCACACATGACGACCATCTACGTTCGTTTATGCATCCATATATTGACTGAGACATTCAAAAAGTCAAGAAAGGGTCTTTGAATCATTTACTCTCTTGCTTACCCCTATTATTGTGGAATCCTGTACTAAGCCAAGATGGAATGGGAATTTCTTTGCTTTTCTCCCATTTATCCGCCGTCGAAGCAGGCATTTGATAGCATATCAATCGACGATCTCGTTGGAAATATGTTTGATGTAATTCTACGCAAAAATCGTGATAAGCATTTAAGCACGGAGGTTTACACTAATCTTCGATTATAAAGACGTAGGTGTTGTGCACTGATGCGGCAAAAGGGCGAAGACCTTTTTCACCTAGTTGGACAATAGAACTCTCCACAGATAGTTACATGGAATTTGTATCAGACAGTCAGATCGCCCGAATTATGCTGGGCTCTCCGCCTTCACATGTTAAGTTCGAACACCTCTTTGAGACTACCATTACTCTCACCTTTCCTTTTTGAAAAAAAAAGAGTAGTAAGCAGCGTCCCTACATCGAGAAGAACGAAATTACACTGGCCAAAATCGCTATTATCGCTCGCAACGTTTCCAGCTTGAACACCATCACGTCTCTCAAACTTTCTTAGATTTGACGCACTGCGGCGACTAATGGGAACAAAACTGCGATCGAGCGGTCAATTACGCAATAGATTGACATCGTGTATCGGCCAACATTTCCTCAGCGGGAGACCCTACTGGGACAGTGTACTCTCCACAAATAAGACTAGGCGTGTAAAGGGGGCCAAGTTGGGAATGGTCAATCTCTCATTTGATTTGAACTCACATAGTCTAACAAGCCATTAGACAGGATTGTCGTTTTCACATCCCCCACTTTCCTACCTGCCTCGTCTACGCATTTCAGTCCTGCTACCAGGCGCTAGTCCTCCTGTCCTACCTTGTTTCGACTTGATGTTTTGTTAGCTGCTGTTATTTCGCTGCAGTTCGCGATGCGAAAGTCTCACAAGGGTAGGATCCCAAGTCGAAGTGGCCATTTAAAATGGGACCTATACTGCTCGTGGTATTTTTTGATGCTGATTTCAAATCTGCATTCAAAAACTGCCAAACGATTTTCTGAACGAAGTTATGGAGGTGGTCACCGGAGAGCGCTCAATAGGGGAAAGCACATAAGCCCTGGTCGCCGGCAGTTAAGCAATGGCGGCTTGGAGTGGAAAAAAGCGTGACGCTTCACAGGCACGGGACGAAGGATCAGGTTTGGTGGATGGCGACGTTTTTGCAGCTT